TCAATTTGATCAATGTCTGCTGTTCAAGCGCTGGCACAATTACGGCATAATTCTCCCAGAATCAACAAAACAAAAATAGTAACTCCAGTTGAGGGGTTCCGCTGGAACACTAACTCGTTTGGGAATTAAATTTGAGTCGCACCAACCAATAAAGCCCCTCGGTTTCATATATTAATCAAAAATCAAATCATGACAGCTTTTGTGCACCTCTGAACATTATGAAATTCCATCCATTTTACGTACCGCTTGTCCTCACTATCTTTTGCAAATATTTTTCAAAAATATAAAGTACAATAATAAAATCACATTATCAGTATTTCTTATTAAATGCTGCAAATCAAAAAAATTATAATTTACAGTAATCCTCTCACCACTGACAACCTGAGGCCATGTCAGAGTTGTCACAAACTATTGCTTTGCCCTTACACGTCAGCAGTGTTGCGTCACTTATATTAAGACAACTTATAAAGACTGGGTAGTATAATAACTTCAGTCGAGAAGAGGCTCTTTTACAATGCACCATTTTAACCTTTACCGGAGTGCTCTGGTTTTTGTGGTAACCAGGTGAACCGGTAGGGTTCACGTGGTGCCAGTAAATCAATATCAAGTCTTTTCTGTTCTTCATCGCTGTTCACGGTTGTGTACCCGAGCAGCGCCATGGCCCCCTCACACACTTGCTGGATGCGCTTTACCTTATTGTGTGGCAGCGTGGTGCGCCAAGCCTGAGAAACATCTGCAGCGTTTCTTGAAGTGATTTCAAAGGCCTCTTTCAAGGAACCTTTACCTTTTCCATGAGTCAGCTTATAAATCCATTCCTCTAACTGATGTGTCATGTCCAGATCGACAAAGTCATACATAGCACTTATTTCCGCTAGTGGATTACGAGCCACATCCTCATAGCGGACCATTTTGTACCGGCCTTTTAGAAATGGTGTGGGCTTCCGTAGGGCCCTTTCGCTAATGCGCACATGGCTACGACAGATCTCCTGCACAACTTGGTATTGTACCTCGGCTGCAGGCACGTTTCTCTGCTCCAGCACAACAGCATTATCATGCACAAAAGCTTTGGCAGACTGTTCTCTTGACCGGACCACAGCCCGAGGATCCCGAACCAGATGAATGATGCGAAGGTCAAGGCTGGGATCCTCAAAGAGAGGGTATAGGGATTCCAGTTCAAATATTCGCACTGTTTTTAATACGACATGACTGTAGGAAGTGCAGGCTTCCTGCACCTCCTGTAGGCCCACCGTATCACACGTTTGCAAACACTGAGTTTGATTGCTGAGATGGCCACGTGGTGTGAGAGAACAAGCCGGCGGTGAGCACAACGCTCGACTGTGACTCCACATGAACAAAGAGGAGACGTTGCGACGCTGTGGCAGGTAGGCATCAGTCACAGAGAAATCACAATGAAACACACTTCGTATTAGATCCCTTACAGCCATTCGTAACGCCTGTGCACCAGAGTTCTTAAGTTTGTTCCAAACATGCCAGGCAGGCTCCATGAGGTAGAAGACTGACGGGTGTTGACCGAACACTTGCCCAACAAAAGATGATCCTGATCGCCACGATGACAGCAGCACAACATGGATTTTCCTATTGGAAGAGGTGCAGTCAAGAGGGTTTAGCTTGATGTACCAGCCGCAGAAGAGGATCACTGTGGCTCCCAGCAGGATCAACAGAAAAACCATCGTGCTGAGGTTCACTCTGTAACGGGGCATGATTGGTTGTGGCTTGGTATCTTCAGCTTGAAATTTTCCTCAGTGGAGTTGCGCGCTTGCCCGTGCTGTAAAAGAGGCGGGGCTAGAGGAAATGACAGATTTGAAGAAAGGGACATACAGAAAAATTAATATGCAGCGTTTAACTCCAAAGTCCAGACAGTGTTATACAGTCCCCGCTTATCAAACCACACCGTCCAATCATGTGATTGTTTAATGCAGAGGTCCCCAACCCCCGGGCCGTGGACCGGTACCGGTCATTTGGTACCGGGCCACACAGAAAGAATACATAACTAACATTATCCTCTGTTACATCCATCTACAATATGTCATTCTTGATGCAGGTGAAGGCGTGCTTCTCAGTCACATGTTAGGTTACCGCCAAAATGAAACCCAGGAACTTGCAAAATTAGTAAAAAACAAAGGTCTTTGGGAAGGGGGAAAGGCCCAGCCAGGAGACAGAGGAGCCTACGACTTTCAAGAAAAAGAAGGCTACATTTAATCGACAGTGTCAGGAAGTCCTACTGAAAATACAGATTGATCACAATGGGAGTTTCCCACGCACCAAGCCCACTCTGCATAATATGCGGCGATGGTGAGTCGTATTTGTCATGCACTTTGTATTTGCGGTCTACAGTGATCCGTCGCTCTATCACGGTTCGTTTAGCGCGGCTTCAGTGCATCACGTTTTTTTTTTCCCCAAAAGTACTGTATTCGGAAAAAATTGCCAAATGACTCAGAGGTTTTGTGCATGGCTGTAACTTGATTGGTTCCCAACGCCGACGTTCACCAATGACAGCACGAGTGGATCTATCTCACGTGGCTATCTCGCGGGGGGTGGGGGTGGGGGGGTGAGAAGATGCACAGCCAATCAACATGGCTTTGCATCTTCTCAGCCCCGCCCAGCACCCTCCCTTCTGTCTTATCACGTGGGTTACTCTTTGATCTTTGATCAGCGTCTTAAGTGTTGTTTACAATGTGTGGTAGTGTGTGCGTTGCCGTGCGCGCGCGTGTGTGTGTGTGTGTGTGTGTGTGTGTGTGTGTGTGTGTGTGTGTGGCTGAGAGAGAGAGGCGGCTTATAAGAAAAAAAGCAGCAGTGTCTCTTCCATCCTTAATTGTCTAATCATTAACACGTCGGCTGCACTCGCAGGATCGCTGGCCTGTATGTGCATTTGAAATTTCGTCCCTCTCACATTTTATGTTTTTTTTTTGTTTTTTTTTTTAAATCCTGCTTCACGGATTTCACTTATCACTGGTTCTTTTTGGAATGTAACCCCCGCGATAAACGACAATCTGAACCACTTTCCTGCATACACTTTGTTGTCTGAAGCCGTTATAGATGAAAGAGGAGCAAATCAAAGTGTCCTTTTCACCAGTGATTCAGATTCAGATTCAGATTCAGAAAACTTTATTCATCCCCATGGGGTAATTGGACTTAACAGGCACGCTTTGCACAAGAAACATGAAAAACAAAGACGAACATGGGATACAGTGCGAAGGGCCTGTCGGTAATCGCCGTAAGTACAGCGCCCCGAGATCTTAGATGAGAAAAGTAAACACTAGGGAAGGAGGGGATAAAAAAACCATGCGCGAACTATCCTCTTCTGAGGATAATTTAAGTCTAGGAGAAAAAAATTCCCGGCACATCAAGCATATGACAGTTGCAACAAGACACAAGACATAACGTGATGAGGGGGGGCGGATGGATGAAGCATGGTACCTTTATGAATAAACCATTCGTCACAAGGTGTAGTAATGCTAATGTTAACTGTTGGTAGAACTAATCGATGACGTGTGTTAAATTCTTTCGTCAAATTGATCGTAGATTATACATGCATCGTCTTGGGAAGAGGATGTCAAGCCACATCAAAAAAAATCCCCGTGCACATGCGCGATGTCTTGAAATTAATGGTGTCCGCCCGCTTCGTCCCGCTGTCGCGGCACGAAGCAAAAAAATGCCCGGAGTGCCTGGATTTTTAAGCAAGGCCTGAAAAACCTCGCCGTGTCACTCCCGTTGTCTGTCAAATCGGTTGAATTTTGCGATAGAACAGGAAACTGCTAACACCAAACAGCAGCATACCTGTTATCAGAAGGCCAATAATGTAGATGTCTTCCACATCCTCAACGGACAGTATTGACAGGCACACCATTCTCCACTTTCTCCATGGATCAAGGGCGTATCCGGCAGCAAATGTCCCCGAGGGGCAAGTAGGCTCCCCACTGCCTGCTCTTCTCGTCGAGAAAATTTTGTCGATTGCATCGAGGGACCAGCCAACCAATTCCATGGTTTATTCTGAGGGTGAAGTACGATAGGAGGCTAGGAAAAGTTAGACACAGACAGCACGTAGACTGAGTGGCGAGCAAGGAGAGGGTGGGGAAGGAAGGAGCTGAGCAGAAAAGCGTCCGCCTTCGTCGAGAGCCAGCAAGAAAAGATGGATCAAAAACGTCATGCTGCAATGTGCACACGTCTGCTACAAGCTAAGCTTGAAAGCAACAACAAGCTGTAGCGTCCATTAACGAAAAAGAGAGATTGGCTCTCTTCTCCTGTCCCATGTAAATCCGCTTCAATTCCAAGACGCGACTCCCAGTTCCACATACGCATCGGCGCTCTGCGCTGACGCTCCTTTCTTCTCATCGTCGGCTCCTCAATCCATGCACCCATCCAGCTGCAGACTGTCCATCAGCACCGACCTTTTCGCTGAACAAAGCGGTTCAAACAAAGTTATCCTGGAAGCCAACCAGATCGACGGAACACTAGGCCACCCCGGTATCCAACCTCAGTGCTTTCATTAAGATCTGATGTTGGATTTCAAAATAAAAGGCTGAAATCTGACATCTTGACCTTGACACCTGATTTTAAAAAATCATTAAAAATTCAGTCTTTGTTATTCTGCAACCAGACCAGGTCTAGGGTACACGAGGCCAGCACAGGTATCCAGCCAGATTACTTTCATTAAGAGCTGATGTTACATTTAAAAATAAAAAGGCCTCTGAAATCAGCAATTTTGACCTTTGCACCTGATTTAAAAAAATAAAAAAAAAAAGTCAGAAAAAATTTAATTTTCGTTATCAACCAACACGGACGCCCTGATCAGGAAACTGAGGTCTTTTGGGGTTCAGGGGTCATTCCTTAAGACCTTCTATAACTTGGTGGTGGCTTCGGTCATCCATTACGGCATTGTCTGCTGGTCAGGCAGCATCTCGGCCCGGGACAGAAAAAGACTGGAGCGATTGGTCAGGAGAGCCAGTTCTGTCCTGGGCTGCTCCCTGGACACTCTGGAGGAGGTGGACAACAGGAGGATGCTTGCTAAACTAAAAGTTATGATGGACAGTCCCTCCCACCCCTTCCAGCCCGCCCTGACAGCACTGGGTAGCTCATTCAGCCAGAGACTGTTACACCCGTGCTGCAAGAAGGAGAGATACCGCCGCTCATTCCTACCAACTGATGTCAGGCTGCTGAATAAACATACGTGAAAACCTGTAACCATTGTAAATAGCACAGCCACCTTACGCTGTGTTTTCTATGCTATTAGTAATTTATTATATCCATCCATCCATCCATCCATCTTCTACCGCTTATCCGGGGCCGGGTCGCGGGGGCAGCAGCTTTAGCAGGGAAGCCCAGACTTCCCTCTCCCTAGCGACTTCTTCCAGCTCTCCCCGGGGGATCCCGGGGCGTTCCCAGGCCAGCTGGGTGACATAGTCTCTCCAGCGTGTCCTGGGTCGTCCTCGGGTCTCC